ATGCGTACTTTTGCAATGTTGACCTTGCGTGACGTCATTTATGACGTCATCAAGGTGATATTATTTTTTTCGTTAATAACTCTTGATCAAATTGAGCTAGCCCAACCACTGCAACGGTTACTGAGGCATGAAATATATGCCTCTCAAAAGCGTTACAGGCTGGGCCGGGCCGTTATATGTAAATGCTGATATCTTTCCGTTATCTTAACCCTCGCCGGCACAGGGGGTGGGGGTTGATGCACCCCCCCCCCCTAAGGTTTGTCGCGAATAACTCGCGTAAAAAGCGGCCGATCGCGACGAAACTTTCGGTACCCTCGTATTGATTAATTTTACACCTACCCTGAAAATTTCATGACCCTGACCTAAATGACCTTTGACCTGTGACCTCTTTTCCGAGACCATGCTTGACCGGAATCGCGATTCGTAGTATGTCGGCTCGCTTTAGCCGCGCGTTTGCAAGCTTTTCGTGGTTTCAAACGTTCCAACATGTGATTTGATGTTCCTCCCATGCATTAGGGTGGTTGTCAAGGTCACCTGAAGGTCAGGTCAGGTCATTGACCTTTGGTGACCTCGGCTCACTTTTTGGAGTTTTACATGTTTCTAGGCTAGTTTTTGGAGCTGATTTCGAATTTAGCAACCATTTGTACATTTACGAAGTAGTTTTGTTGCCTTCGTAACATGTTACGAAGCTGTCAGAGGCGGTTGACACGTATTACGAATACCCGTCACGACCCCTACCGGTTGACCTGACCTGACCTGACCTGACCCGACCTGGTTTAAATGCTTAGAAACAAAATCTCTGATCAAAACTAACACGATATTCGTGATCAGCACCCCGGAAAACCCCATAGCAGCCACACTTTACGACTTTCTAACAGGTCCCGATTTTCCCGATTTTCGGGTCATTGACCTGACCTGGAAGGTCTCCCGATGACCTAGGACCTTAAAATTGGATATCACCGGCCTCCTCTCGTGACGGGCAACACGCTCGTTTTTTCCGCGAAGCTGTAGCTCGATCAGGGGCAAACGCGAGGGGGTCGTACCCCCCCCCCCTTGTGCCGTCGATGGACGCAAAATGGCCTGTGCCGGCGAGGGTTAAAAAGATTTCGCTTCGCTTGCGCGGTCCGTTCGCTCGTATATTTGTCCTTCGTTTTAATCCTCGCCCGTATTCGTGTTTGCCAGCGTCTAACGTATATGGGGGGAGGGGGGAGGGGGTTGGACTCTCCTTGCCGTTTGGCCTCTGATGGAGCTAGAGCTTCGCAGAAAAAAAAACGAGCGCGTTGCCCGCAAGGAAAGTAAGCCGATGACACCCAATTTTATGGTCTTATTTATGTCACTGGTTGACCTTCCAGGTCAGGTCAATGACCCAAAAATCCGGAAAATAAGGACTTGCTGGAAATTCGTAAAGTGAGGTTGAAAAAGGGATTTTGTGGGGTGCTGAACACGTAGTTCATGTTAGCTTTGATCACATATCTTTGATGTCTTAATGTATTTAGGCCAGGTCGGGTCAGGTCAGGTCAGGTCAACCATTAGGTGACCTGCCGGCCATCCATAGCAGGTGTTGACCACTATTGACAGCTTCGTAGCATACGAGGGCACCAAAACTATTTCATAAATCTCCAAAGGGGAATTCGAAATCAGCCCCAGAAACTACCATAGAAACATGTAAAACTCGAAATAGTGAAGCAAGGTCATCAAAGGTCAATGACTGACCTGACCTTCACGGGACCTTGAAACCCACACCAAAAAAAAAAAGATTGGAAATTGCGCGGATAATGTGAGCCTCAGCCGACATACGCCAATTCGCGATTCCGGTCGAACATGGTCTCGAGAATCAGACCACAGGTCAAAGGTCATTGGGGTCAGGGTCATTAAATTTTAAGAGTAAGTGTAAAATTGATTAACTCGAGGGTATTGAAAATTTCGTCGCGATCGGCCCTTTTTGCGCGAATTATTCGCGAAAAACCGGGAGGGGGTCCGTTCGACCCCGCTATATGTAAGTGCGAGTGTTAAGTCACTAAAAATCTGTCTATAAAGTAAAAAAAAAAGTTTATTCCTCGAGCTGAGAGGCCAGAGTTGTACAGTTGGAGTAGGTATTTCAACACATCATGTAGGTATTTGCTTACATCCATGCATACATTCTCGAATTAAACATCAATAATATCCTACCCACTAAAGGCATATTGCTCTTTGGAACGTCGCTTTCGGTATGGGGATATCATGGGTCTGAGCCAGCTGACACGGGTGATACCCCCTCAGTGGGGTTCTGGCATGGTCTGCGTTGGATCACCCACCACCACAATGGGCGGTTCCTCAAAACCAGCGTAATTGACCGGTGTGAGGCGGCGACGTGAGGCACGCGAGTGCGGGACCGTCCCCACGCCGCGGCGGTCCGGGTCAGGGGAGCAGCCCCCTCCCCGCGCGGCGGGCGGTCGCCCATTCATCCGCGACCCCAACCCCATGACTGAGGGGTTGACAGCGGGCAAACATCACGTATTTAAACTGGGCAAACAGACGGTGTTCTACGCTAGGGACATCTCGCGGCTGTGATTCACGATACTGCTTCGCCAAACTGCCTTTAGATGGTGGGTCAGTCGGTGTCCGTCTGCTGCTGTGCGCCGAGAATTAGCCCTATAAATTACCATGAATTACACCTTCTAGTGTGACGATACAATCACATTATCATATAGGTCGCGTTTAGATGCAAATGAAGAAACGACTGCGTTGAAAAAATATGTCATTTCATCGAACGCTGAAATGCTCGAAGTGCTCGCTAAAAAATGAACTCGCTAACTGAGCCCTAAAGGTCGGCTGCCGTGTTGCTTTGCATTTAAGCCAAAAACGCGGGCTGGGTGTAAGTTGTCGAGAAACAATTTTTGGCCTGAAGTGTTCTCTAAAGTATTATCTACATAGATCCAGGGAACATATTTGCTATCTATGATGGCTTAGGAGATATTGAATCGTAAGTGCTCCGGTGTACCCTGTTTTGCGGCGGCCCACGTGTTAAAAGCTGCTGAACATTTTTACTTTGACCAAAAAACGCGGGCACAGTTTTGTCTGTACGAAAATGATTCTTGTGCTATCGCATTCCACGTGGGCTGAAAATTCAGAAACCAGGGAACATATTTGCTACGACCAGCACTTTTCACGATTTAGGCCGAAACGTGAAAAAATAGCCCCAAAACCCTATGGCGGGCACCTCTGCGCGGCGCCCGGCCGCGGGTCGCTAGTTCCCGAAACGACACACCATGTCAGCAGCTGTCCTATGTCTGTGTCTCAGCGGCAGGGCTACCGGTTGTCTGTGTTTCAGCGGTCTGACGGTGGACTCGTGGCTGGAGAACGCGGCCGACCTGCTGGCCTTCGCCACCCGGGAGGTGGACATTGCGCGCACGCTGCAGTCCAGTCTGGAGGCCATGCTCAAACAGGCCGAGTGTGACGTACGCAACCAGGTGGAGAGGACCAACCGGGCGCTGGACACGCGCGTACAACAGACGCGCACCGCCAAACAGACGCTGGAGGACAAACTGTCCATGGTGAGCGGGCTAGCGGACAAACGGTCCATGGTAAGCGGGCTAGCGGACAAACGGCCCATGGTGAGCGGGCTAGCGGACAAACGGCCCATGGTGAGCGGGTTGAGTGAGCGGGACACAGAGCTGGCCCCATATGCCTGCTGCTGCCGGTAGTGGTGATCGGGACGGAGGCCGCTTACGGTGTCCACTGATCAGTTCCCTGGATGACGATAGGACGGCAGGGCCACGCTACCACCAATACTCCTGACCTGGGCTGTATCTCCGCGCCGTCCAGGTTCGTGAGCACATAGCCGCCGTGGAGCGCACCATTGGCGAGCTGGACCTGGCCGTGCGGAACCTGCGCACGCCACTGGCCAAGGCGCAGACGCGGCTGCGCGGCCGCACCGAGCGGCCCTGCCCAGAGCTGACCAACGACCGCGCCCAGCGACAGCTGGTGATCGAGGTCAAGGAGATCCAGACCAACGCCGACCGGCTGCGCAGAGAGCTGGCCTCGGCCCAGGCGCAGCTCAGGTGAGTCGCCGACCGACGCCGTCAAGGCAGATGAGCTATCGCGGCGGTGTATTACCGCTGTCGCTTCGCAACAAGGAGAAGCTTCGATGGGTTGCGTCAGTGTGCTTCAGTAACATAATCAACTTGCTTACGTACGATCAATAGAGTGCACTTATGTTCAAAGCAGCACATGAGTATCCCACTCCGGGTCAGATTTGCCCCGTACACGGCTCGCAGAGTGTGACTGACTGAGCCGGTCGGCCCTCGCAGGAACCTGGACCGGGAGCGGCTCATTCTGGAGGAGGACATTGACGTCAAGACCAACACGCTGCACATCTGCGAGGGCCAGTGTCAGGTGCACCGGCAGGCGGTCATCATCCAGCACTTCTAGTCGCCGTCCAGCACCGAAACCGACACCGAGACCGACAGCGACACCGACTCTGGGCGGCGAGTTCAGCAGTGGCCGAGCCCCCAACGCCATCGCACCGCGGCCTCGCTCAGACGCATGGACGGGTCAGGCAGGTTCGATATTGTTTTTCTCAGTTTTATCCCACATTGAGGTCAGCTCAAATTCACAATCCAACCCACACAAGGCGTTGTTGAGATAATTGTAGACATTAAACGGTCGCAAACAACTCGCGTCATGTAGCTCTTTTCCCTTGCCTTCTAGAGCGTTTTATTATTTCTTCGGTGAGTTTTATGGTTTCGAGTAGATTATGAAGTTGTGTAAACCGGTGCTGACCAGCGCATTTAGCGCGTTATGAACACTGCCAGTCCCCTGCCATCGGGCCCAGACAGGGTCGAGGATCTGCATTTTTGTCCGTGTTATCATGTGCAATGATGTGAAATTGGTTGAATGTCCACTGTCTAGTCCGCGACTTATAAAGCATGACCACAGCTGCATTTCGTTTACATTTAGATTAAAGCACCAAGTCCTCGGTGTGCAATAAACGCCGTTTCGGACGGCCTACACGCACAAGAGACAAATTGCTGTTTATTGTTCGCCTCGCGTTACATGCACATGTAGTAAATAATAAAATCAATCAGCATCCACGTCCTCACAGTCAGCTATGTGGAACTCTGGCCACCGAAGCAGCCCGGCCATAAAAAGGCGGATAACCCGCCGCGCGATAGGGATGTACTACTCCAATTCTCCCAACAATATACACTTCACAATTCAATATGCCCATATACAACAATTAACAACGCTTATGACTACCCGGAATCACATTTCGCGAATCAGCTCCCCATTGTAGCTCGCTGTCGCTCAGCGCCATTCAGTGATAGATCCCGACCAAGAGATGCATTGCATATGCCCTAGCGCGGCGGACCAGCCCCTTAGGAGTGTCGATCGTTCCACGGTACCCCAGGCGTCGAGTCAGAGATGGTTTGTTCAGCGGCTGAGGAGGGCGACACAGAATGGGAGACGATACGGTTAACAATATTAGGCCTATCTCGGCACATGGACATACGATCAATCCCATAGAGCGGCAGCATAGTCGAATCGTACCCGCATTCTGCTGCCAGCCGCACGGTATTCGGACTAGGATGAATCACTCGGCTAGGCAGTGTGACAGCCACACTGGAGCTCCCCGATTAAAGCCAGTACGTGGGTGCCGCCGCGCCCGCTCACCTCCAGCCGTCTGCGAATGGTCCACCGAGCGGCGCCGCCCGCCCGCCGCGCGCTCAGAAGTTGTCCGTCAGACTGAAGATGCCGCTGAGCACCTTGACCAGCTTGTCGCCCTTGTCGGAGGCCTTGGGCGGCCGCTGTTTGGCGGCCTCGCACTCTGCGCTGAGGACGGCCGTGGCGTTGGCGGCGGCGGCGGCGGCGCGCTCCTGCTGGCCGGGCGCCTGCACCGAGTAGCGGCGCTCCATCTCACCGCGCACCGAGTGGCGCTGCTCGCGGCGCTGCTGGCGCGACCACTGCCAGTCGTCGGCGGCCGCGGCGCTGAGGTCGGCGGCCGCCGGCTGCTGGAGACGACTGCGCACGCTCTCCGACCGCTCACACCGCGCCTGAGAGTGCCTGCAGACAGAGCGCAGAGCCCGCCGTCAACCATCAGCGGCCACGGGCTGCGACAGAGCAGATGATTCCAGGGTGAGCGCCAGCGTTGATTCAGGCTCAGCTGCCTGGTAGTAGCTAAAGCTGACTTTGACTCTGACTCTGACGCATGACTATTTCAACAAGCAGCCAAGACCTCCCGTGGGACATGTCACCATTATCAGGTCTCGCAGTGTCCGGTGTTCAGCGTTCGCTGCGTCCGTACCTGAATGCCTCCTGGGCCAGTGCCTCATTGCGTGTGACTGAGACGCGGCGGCCGGCGGGCGAGGTGGCCGCCTCCTGGCCCGGCTGGAAGCTCAGGGAGCGCGGCACCTCGCCCTGCCGACCGCCCAGCTCCGAGGTGTGGCTCAGGGAGCGCGGCAGCTCGGCGGGCCGCCGGCCGGGGCTGTAGCCGGCCTGGCGGCGGCTCGGCTGCGCCGCCCAGCCGTCCGCCACCGGCACCGGCACCGGCACGGCGCCCGTGCTGCACGGAATCGACGGGATGTTGCGCACGGACGGCGTGAGGCCGCGCGGCGGCAGCTCGGGCGGCGGCGGCGACGGCGCGCGCGGCCGGCCGCCGACCGACGGGCTGCCCGAGCGCCCCGGCCGGCCGGGCCGGCCCGGGATCGGCAGCGCCCCACTGGTGGCGTACGGCGGGGCCGGCGCCGGCTCCGTCGGCGGCCCGTCCAGGCCGCGCGGGCCGCTGTCGGGCCGGGTCGCCGACTCCAGCGGCAGGCTGAACGGCCCGCTGGCCGGCGCCGGCTGCCGGGGTGGGCCGCCAGCCGGCTCCAGCGACATCTGAGACAGCGAGAGCACCGAGCTGAGGCTGTCCTGGGCGTCCGCCAGCAGGCCGGGCGGCGGCGACGGCAGCTGCACCGGTCCGGCGGCCGACGGCGCGGCACCCACCACCTGCCGACCGAGGGGGCGTCAGCGCACGGCCGGGACGGACAGCGGCCGCCGGCACCACATTCACCGACCATCGCACCAGCACGGGACGGGACTGTCCGCAGCACTGACCTGGGGTGTCAGCGGCGTGGGCAGGCCGTCCAGCCCGGAGGAGGGCGAGTCCAGCTGCGCCGGCCGGCGCGCGGGCCGCAGCGTGAGCGGGTTCTCCGCCAGACACTCGTCCACGCTGTTCGTCACGCTCTCCTGTGGGGCAGACGTGTCACGGGTGAGTCAGTGCCTCCCAACACAGAGTCCGTCCCTCCCCACACAAACACCGGCTGATTCAGCGCCAGGTGGGGCGGTCGGCGTATTTACAAACACCGCGCGTACAATACTGCGCCGCGGTCGGCCGCGGGGAGGGAACGCTCCGCAATCGGTCATCCGCCGCGCGCAGCTGGCTCACCTGGGACACCGCTAACAGCGCAGCTCAAACGCGCAACGCAACGGAGCGATCGTAGGCGTAGAACGGGATGAATTAGACTGTGTGATTGGTTTGGTTTAAAATCAATGTTACTGTTGCTAGACCGCAGATTGTGTTTCGAAATTGCATCATAGATTACCGAAATTAAAATTAAGCCAAAACGAAAGGGAAAAGATTGAGCCAACTATGTACATCCAACCAGCATATCTTCGGGAACAACGTTAAAATGCTCAAAACCCGAACATCATGTCAAGGCCTCTCAGGACACCGTCTTTGGTTTGAGTGGAGCTGGATATCCATTGTCCCCTGGCCCGACCGTGGTCAGTGTCGCCTGTCCTTGACCAGTGACCACGAGTGACCATTGATAGGAGGTGCGTTTGAGGCGGCTATCGTCCACACGCGCACAAAACACACACAGACCTGGGGGAGGGAGGGGTCGATGTGCGAGTCTGGCCCCACGGCCGCCCAGATAGCCGACACAGCGTCCGGCGGGGGCAGAGGAACGAACCGAGGCCGGCCCGGGGGCGGTGCTGAGCTGACCACGAGGCCCGGGCTGGCGGTGAGTGGGGCTGCCTGGCCAGGTACGAGGAGAGGTATTGGCTGATGTGTGACCGCAACATTAGCAACCTTCTCGTGTCAGTTGCGCACGGCCGAATGTGTAAACAAACCACAGAAAAACGGCGAATGTAGTCGGCTGTCGCTATTTAGTGTTCTAGAGCAGAATTCAGCGCTAGCGAAGAAGTGAACACACTAAATTACTGATTATTCTACAAAGTCGCGAAACCCAATAGTGGCGAGGAAGGGGAATGCGACTTGGAGTTTGTCCTCATGCCGTAGCTATAGTTCGTTTTTTTTTCAAAAGGACTCTGGCTCCAAGTACGTTTTTCGAAAAAGCACGCCTTTTAGCGAGCAAAACGAGCAAAAACTGAACCTGAGAAATTCGAACGTCGCCTTATTTTAACATGTGAAGTATTCCCAATAATTTCCATACGTGCATTTTGGAACCAGATATGAGAACAGTGGTGACGTCATGCTGTCGAACTTGTATTGCAATGTAACGAATAACTATCATGGACGAAACCGCTTACTCGATTATAACCTCGGCCCCCAATTCGTTTCCCCCAAATTCGTCGAAACTTTGTCCCATCGTACGGACATTGGGTGCCTGCTGCCACCAGTGACGTCATCATGGTATGCTAATTTTTCAAGACACAATTTCCGGGTACTTACCGTGCAAAATTTGAAATCGAATATTTTTTGGGTAAGAAATTCTTGGCCAGACGCTGAAGCTGCCAAAACTCACGTGAGAGCTTCGATAAGGAACTAGGAGCCAGCGCCCTTTTGAAAAAAAAAACGAACTATAGTAGCCAATTTTCTAACCCGGGGCAAAGATTTAGGGATAAAGTGGAGCAAAAGCACGCCAACCTTTTTGGATGACTGCGTTTCACATATCAAGCATGTCCGGACACACTAGTGGGAGATATAGTGAGTGTGATTTCGATCGATGTGTGTTTTACACTTTGATAAGATGAGACCATAGATATTCTGAGGTGTGTCAGGTCCTTTTGGTAAGCATCGCTCGTGCTGGCAGGTTTTTACCTCGCTGTGCTGCGATAGCGGCCCGCGTGACCGACTGCAGGGCCGCGGGAGGCGGTAACTCCGAGGTTGCAGCTCCGGGCGGCAGTACCTAGGGTGAAGGTAACTCCGGGCGCCGCCGGGGGAGGGCCGGCACTCACCGAGAAGCTGCTCATGTCGTCGCTGAGCTGCTGCTCTAAGGAGGGGAGGGGAGGCCGGCACTCACCGAGAAGCTACTCATATTGTCGCTGAGCTGCTGCTCTAAGGAGGGGGAGGGGAGGCCGGCACTCACCGAGAAGCTGCTCATGTCGTCGCTGAGCTGCTGCTCCTCGGCCAGAAGCCGCGCCTGCCGCTCCTGCAGCGACGACAGCGTCTCCGTGTTGGACTCCATTACTCGCAGCGCCTGCAGACCGGGAGAAGGGTCAGACGGGTCGCGTGGGGTCACGGGTCACGCAAGTCATCGATCAGGTGGGCCGCGAGTGGGACAAGCAGGTCCTGGAGTCCCGGTGTTACGTTTTCTAACATAAAGGACATCCACAATATGTTTGCGGTACCATGCAGTACCGGGGCATGTGAGTCATGCAGCAACAGCTTTGTGCCACGGCGGCCAGCGCACTGTCACGGGTTCCGGTCGCAGTGGAGATATCATCCGCACTCGCAGGCTAGTGCAAACTACCCGCTGCAACGTCCCTTGCGCAACAAAAAACAACGAAAAAGTGAGGCCTTCTGTTTCGTGGTGAGTCAGTCAAGGTACTCTGGCGGGCTTGAAACGGGCGCGTCGTCGAAAATCATTACCGAATACCGAGTATTATCATCGGCCAGGGCAATGACCTTCCGAAGGCTTTTGCTCTTTGGGCAGCATGTTTACCGTTCACTCTGAAATCCTCAACCTCTATTGACTTTTTGAAGCTTTGACAAGATGTAGTTGCTCTATTGCGCAGTATCTGTATCAGGTGACGCCGTAAGTGCACAAAGCCGCGATATGTGCCGGGTCATCTGGAGCGGGTCGGTGACATGTTGCGCCTGGGTGGACGTCCCCGACGGAGTAGTGACGGTGAGTCACCGCCGGGGGCCTCTATCTGCAGCTACGCACCGGCCACCCCTCCCCTCCCTCGGGCGCACTCTAACCAGCGGCGGCGTCCGACCTATTACCGCACGGCGCACTTAGTCATACTACTCAGCCCGGCGTGCAGACGGCCGGCACAGGTGGGCAGGCCGGCGCCGAGGTAACGGCTCGGCCTCTGACCTCGACCTCACTACCGACGTACGAATGGAATCTGCACCTGCTTTGGAAATCAACTAGCCGAGTCTAGCGCTTTAAACAGGCCGGGTGCTCAGCGCGTGATCAGCGGTCCGTAACACAGAAGACACGCCCATCAGCATTGGATAGCGGCGTTCAACGGAAGATGTTTTCCTAAAATGCAGTTATTCATAAAATTGCATCGGCGTAAATCACAAAGATTTGATAAGCGCTCGGAGTTTGCAGTGTCCTGCTGGCAGCTCCGGATCACGGCGCCGGCACCCGGCGCCGACTGGTGTTGCCGAGCGGATGTAAATCGCCCTCAGAGCCGCGACAGAGCCGAACAAACGACACCAGCTGCGCATCCGGAGCTCACTATCGCGGCTGGCACAGGGCGGCCTCATGACAATGAGTAAAAACCCACCGGAAAACGGAGACCGAGCAGACGTTATATCGACGTTCTTAAATGCATATATGATTCAGCAGAGCTAAGATGTTGAAACTGGTTAAAAAAAGAAAGACCAGAAGCACAACCTAACAGGCATAAAAAACGGAAGCAAATGTACTCCAGCACCTCCGCAAACGGATCCCCCTCCCCCCCCCCCCCCCCAACGCACACATACACACTGACCTGACAGCGGTACTGGCCGCTCTCCCAGTGGTACCCCTCCCTGTACCCCCACCACTGACCTGACAGCGGTACTGTCCGCTCTCCCAGTGCGCCGCCGGCGGCAGCACCTCTCCGGACATGTACCGCTCGTACTCCTCGGCCGTTAGACCCAGAGAGTCGGCGCCCATCGACTCGATGAACGACACGGCGCAGCACTGACGGCGCAAAGGGACATTAACGTCAGCATTAACACGCGGACATACATCAACACACATTTATCAAGGCATAAACATCACTCAATGACAACGAACACAGACAGTGAAGCGGACAATCCGATGGATCTATCGCTGTAAATTGGCCTCAAAACGGCATCATTCAACGCTCAACACTGTCGTCAGCCTGACACATTAGCCAGCAGCAGCAGCCGGACCATGAACAGTGAACACCCTACCCCACCGATACTGTGTGCCGTCGCGGGCTCTCACCAGGTTGGTGAAGTCGTATCCCTGCTGTCCGGACATGATGCGCTGCTGGCTGCTGAAGCGCGTCACGTACTGCACGTTGCTCTGCAGCCGCGGCGGGTTGGCGCGCAGCACCACAAATATGAGCGCCGGCAGCAGGTCGTCGGCGCTGGGCGGCTCGCCCTGGCGGCCCACGCACAGCATCTCCAGCAGGTGACTCACGCAGGCCGACACACACGTCAGCTTGTCCTGCGGCGTACGCTTGCTGTCCATCTCGATAATGTCTGCGGAGGGGTGAGACGGCGCCGTGGTTAGGTGTTTTGCATAGCTCACACGACAGTGTTACAGTCCAGAGTACAATGCCAAACCTACCCGACTGTGCAAAATAAGACAAGCTTGCCTTCCAGCACCGTCCACACAGGCCATCACTCTATAGTACACCGTATATACGGTATATCAGTGCCATATAACGGTACCATTAGACACCCACCGTGCCCCGTACGTCACCCGTTAGCGCCAGCGTCGCGCGTCTCACCTGTGATGGCCCGCTCGACCAGCTCTGTGACGGCCGGGTTGGTCTCGTCGATGTTGAGCTCCAGCAGCTCGACCCCCACCCAGTAGAGGGATCGGATCCGCTTCTGGACGGCCAGGTCGGCCTCCTCGAGCTCCTGCGACAGCGGCGTGAAGAGCACCCGGTAGAGCCGGGTGGTCAGGTAGCGCTCGGCCAGGTCCTCCAGCTCCGAGCGACGCTCCGGGGAGACGCCTGCAGGACAGAGTCGAGACCTCCGTCAGCTGCTAGCGCACACAACTATGTATGTACACACACGGCGCCCGGCCGGCCTCCAGACATCCTGGTCGGCCGTCGGCGTACAAACACGACACGAGACAGAACAGCACACAGCAGGACGTGTTAGGAAAAACAACGCTGTTACTGCGATAGGTATTAGGTATCCCGCATCGAGACGAGAGGTGCAAGCATTGAGGGCACTGCTATTCAGCCTTAACAAATGGCCCATGATTATCATCGTACGGTGATACGTCCGACAAAAGCAGCGCTCTTAGTTTTAAATACGTGAGGTGTGAATCCAGGATACTCACCGTAGTAGGCCGAGTGCGAGTGCACCCTGTCGTGGAAGGTGTTATAGAAGTGCTGAACGATCTCAGACATTTCGTCCGAGGAGGCGGAGTCGGCGGCGCTGATACAGCTCTCCATACTCGTCTGTGGACAGAGCCAAGCTACTAATTAGGGCGCGGACAACCATCATGCACGAGGAATGGAAAAAAATATAGGTACCTCATAAATCATCAACTACCATACCCGAACCTTCAACACACCAACGGAAATTCCGTTTCCAGAAATGGTCAAAAGACTGGCTTTTTACAAGACAACTACAAACACCTTAAAGGTAGTGTGCCACCTTTGAAAGATTTCCCATTTTATTTTTCCTAGGATAAGAAGCTTCTGTTTTTACCTAATATCGCAAAAAAAAATCAAAAATGGGCCTGGAATAGTGCCTTTTTCGCCTAAAAGTTTATCGGTTTTTAGATATGTATAACAACTGTAGTGGGCTCACCTGCAAACAGGCGTCGGGCAACAATCGCGAATGCGGCGCACTTGTGACAATAAGCAAAGGTCATTATAGTGTTACGACCATGCGACGTACGGGAATGAGTTATCAGCTGTCTAATCGTAGACAACACAATGTCGAGCCTTAAACTGTAAGCCCGTATTGGTACTGTTTCTTTTATTTGGCTGTCGAACATTATTTATGGTTTGAAATATGATTTTATGTAAAATAATTGATATGAAAAAGCCGTCTTATAAGTTATGACCCCATTTCACCACACGCAAGTGGCAGAAATGACAATGATCAGCTGACGCATTTTTATTGGCCGAAGTCAGAGCGCGCGGCCCGACGCACCACGCGTATTTGGAAATTCCGACCTCGACGAGCATCAGAAGCCACCTAACAGGCGTGTTCGAAACCGCAGGAGATGATGATGAACGGGTTTATCGAAACTTGATTGGATGAGCATATCGGTAATAGCGATTTCAGTGTGTGCATTTATTGTTCATAGTGGTGTGAAATGTGGTTGGGGTACGACCGACAACCCGTCGGGGCGAATTTCGCACTGGGGTACTCAAAATTTGAAGAATTTAAGACGTTTCCATGAGTTTTGAAGGTATGGATAAGTTCTAAAAATCCGGTTCTCCTTATCTGGGCCATTAACTCCATACGGTCCAAGAAAGCTGGCACACTACCTTTAAATATTCACAAATAGCTGCTATCAAGCATCAACACGTCATCGCCTCATTCGGTCAATACCATTTAACGCCCGTTAACGTTGCGTTCACGTTGTGTACTAGTGCAGTCATAATGCACATGTTTCCTCACATTGCCAATTGCCATGGAGAAGTGCTGACAAACACACAAACAGACAGACAGACAGACAGACAGACAGATAGACAGACAGACACACAAACACAAAACAGACAGACAGACAGACAGACAGACAGTTGCTCGCCGACCGTCTGCTCTGACCTGCATCTGTCGTCGCACGTCCTCGGCGGCCGGTTTGGACAGGCCGGATAGGAACTCCGTGAGCACCTTGTGGATCTGGATCGACTCCTGGCTGAGGTTCGACGTCCGCGGCAGCTGCTGGCCAGAGTCGGGCGGCTTGGCGTCTGCGGAACAGACGAAACAAATCACAATTTGACTCTCGACGGGGGAGGAGAAGAGATGCAGCTATGCATTAGTCGAGAAGTATAATCGGGCCCGAAACTGCTTAAAACAACAAGATAAATGGTCATGAAGACAATACCAGCAACAGCCTATCGCAACTCCCGCCATCTTCCCTCTTCCCACCTCCCTCCCCCCCCCCCCCCCACCCACACACAAGCACCCGCGCGGGACCTCCATCTCCGTGTCGGTATCAGCCCACTAGACACGGACGGACGGACGGACCGGCGACCCCGCGTCGCCCCATCCGCCGCCGTCCACCACGTGCCGGCGCGGGGACGGCCCGCGCCGGTACCGAGTACTCACGGGAGCGGCCGGGCCGCCGGAGCCGGAGCCGGCGCCGCTCCCGGCCCCGCTCCGAGCCGGAGCTGGCCAGAGAAAACAGCGGCAGCAGCAGACACATGAACAGCGCCAGCATCTCGGCGGCAGAGACCACCGGAGAGAGATAACTCCAGACGGGACTGGGCGAGCAGATCAACTGCGGACCGCGCCGAGCCCAACTGCAGACTGGACTACCGAGCAGAGCTCACTGCAGACTGGACTACCGAGCAGAGCTCACCGCAGACCGGAACACCGAGAGGAGCTCACTGCAGCCTGGACCACCGAGCAGACCCAACTGCAGTCCGGGCCGAGAGAGCCGACGCAACTGACCACAGTGCGGTCGCCGCCGCGCCTCGTGGTTCGCAGTCCCCTCCCGCCCTCCCCACAAGTGACGGGTGGGAGGGGCGGCTGGTGTCAGTCGTCGCCGCCGACAGCTGGTGCCGCCGACGGCCCATCGCCGACGGGTCGTCTGCGGCCGGTGCGTGGCGCGGCGCGGCCGCTGACTAACCGGAGGCCGACCACAGGTGCTGGTATACCGCACACAGGGGACTCTGACCGCGACCAGTGACTCACAGTGACCGGCACGGGACCGGCCGTGACCCAGGGAACAACGGGTGACGGAGCAGACCCCCAGTAACAACGGAACACGAGGCAGCAGTGCACCTGGTCACACCCGGTAGGGAAAGAAACGATCCTCTGCAACAGAAGCTGCTGCATTCGAGATCCGAGGAAAAACCGAGGACGTCTCACAATAACACGCATGGGTGGCCTGGAGTTTCTCATTGACCACTACGCATCAGGCGGCATCATACCTGTTCAGAACGACAGCCGACACCTCGGAGCTACCTTAGAAGGAGAAGCCAAGTCCCAAAACATTTGAAAAGCGTTGGTACTTATCAAGACGCAGTCAGACATCGACGAAGGTCTGCGAAATGTGACTAATTGGATGTAAATTTAGATTGGAAATGGTTCCAAAACAACCAAACATGCAACATGCATAAAAGAAGGGAGGGGTGGAGTCAAACAAGGCTTCGACTGAGGCAAGATCCCTTATTTATAAGAAAGTGCACGGGGAGTACCAGAATAATGTGGATATACCAACAATGAAAATGGACATCGTTCCCCTACTACCTACAATCTTAGGCTGATCACTCCTTTCATAAAGCTACCCAAAAGGTGAAATATATATGTGCTACTTATTGCGCCAAAACTTCAGCTGGACGAGGCTGCAACTGACTTCAAGGTCGTTCGGTGACATTTTGAGACCTAGAGCTGCATTTCTCTGTGACGTTCCACGCGACAGGAGACCGCGTGGCACGCTGAGTTGCGGCGATGACTGATTGCTGAGGTTAGCACGCGCAGGGGGACACATTGCGAAACGTCCCGGACACTTCCGACATTGGTCTGACAGGTCAGGGGACACGTGCGGCGCCCACGCCCGCCCAGCCGGCGGCTCACTCACACTTGAGGTAGAGGCAGAAGGGCGGCTGGAGGCAGGTGACCACCAGGTCTCGGATACCGCCCAGTTCCGGGGTGGCCAGACAGCGGCGGAGCTCGGTCACCGGGGAGGGCACACCGCCGGCCGCCCGGGAACCGGTGGGCCGCCGTTGGACGGGTCAGGAGTGGGCGGGTCAGGAGCGGTCGGCGCAGGAGCAGCGGATCAGGAGTGGGCGGGTCAGGAGCGGTCGGTGCAGAGAGCCGGACCAGGAGCGGTCGGAGCAGGAGCAGCCGGTTCGTGAGCAGTCCGCCCCAGCGTGGGTGGTTCAGGAGTAGTATGTCGCTCACGAGCAGTTGGTTCAGATGAGGTTGGTTCAGGAACAGACCTGCCACGGCAGATACCGGGATGCAAGGATCAGTGCACCATCAGACAGTATCAGGATCAGGTCAGTCTGGTGATCGTGAACAAATGAGACGGTTGAATACAAACTATAAGTTAGCACGTGCCGTCTCAGTCTTATCGAAACTAAGTAGTATCTAATCATTTACATTTGATTTTTACCGAATAAAGGACATACGAGAAGATTACAATACTTGTAATAGACCATTACATCGCGTTTTTCAAGTTCAGGGCACGCCTGCGACGGTTCGAGACATCTTCTCTGCCAGTCATCCCGAAAAGCATCGGTCGAACGCTTTGCCTACACTCCAGGTCGGCAATCGAGATAACACGAGATGAGACCCGTCCTCGAAAGCTATCTATTCATGGCCAAGGTATACATACAAGGTAGGTGTGTTCACTATCTGTAAAATACATGGAGGATGTAACAGCCCCTCCAGATAAATTCATTTTCCGAAATACAAAAGTCGATACAATCATTCTTCTCGTTACGTTACAGCTGCAGGAAAACACAAATAAATAAGCAAATTGTAAAACGCATATGGTAGCCAGACTATAAAAAAACGCAGCGACAGAAAGCACCCAGGACTAACTCAATATATTCGCGGGGCAGACGCGGCTAAAATGTGCCAGGATAAGAAGGTTAATAATTCGGGTAGGGGCTGACATCCCGGGTGTCTCACCTGGCGGCCAGTGCTGGCGGCGGCTCGGGGTCGGAACAGAACTCGGCCAGAGCTGGCGGCGGTTCGGAGCAGGACCAGGACTCGCAGCGGAGGGCGGTACAGGAGCCGGGCGACACCGGGACAGAGGGCCCAGGAGGAGACACCGCCTCCGGCGCCGGACAGGCATCCACAGGCCAGGATTCGGCGTCATCCAAGGCACCGTCTGCGGCAGGCGATAGGTGTGTGGTATGAAGACAGGTGGTTAGGAATCACAATACAAACGTACTTCACACGTAACCCATGTTTTGTTTGTTATGATTGCATCCAATGGTTATTCACGTATAGAAAAATCAGAGTATTGTTAAATAAGAGATAGTATGTGAAAAAGATCGTGAAAATTGATCGGTCTTTTGAGAGCACTCCTAGCTGGAATCCATGCAAAGCTACATCGCGCATCTAGAACTCTCTAAGGATCGACAGTTGTCATCCACCGCCGATTGTCAAAATGAAGACGCATCCCGGCTCATGTAATTTGAGTCACGACGCCTCCGCCACAGTCACGCAGCCTGCGCGTCAGCTGGTCAGGTCGGGTGACTATCGCGGTGTCGGCTGACAGCTGACTATCCCTGCCTGCTGCCGACTGAACGTCAGGTGGTCAGATCAGGTGACTATCACGGTGTCGTCTGACTATCCCTGCCTGCTGCCGACTGGACCAATCAGCGTAATCGGACACTGGTTTGGACGACACTGCGTCGCAGACACTCTGTGCTACTGCGGAGGGACATAGGTGTGCGCCACACTGCCGCTGCGTGCTACTGAGTCACTGACTACGGCTGACGACAGGCAGAGTCAGCCGACAGATCAGACTCGCCTAATTGGACGACTCTACCAGCATAAAAAACTTGGGACAGGCACGGGCCTGCGGGCTTGACCTATCATACCCATGACAGATGTGATCCGCGATGGCCAAAACCATGCTGTCATTTTTGTTTGTTAATGCCATCAATTCCACGAAGAAGTGCTTCAGACGATGTTGACAGCAGGTACCTACCGCTCACAGTTCACACTTCAGCCTTGCCCAACACATACAGAAAAAACAGCAACAGCACGGGTGGAGTGGTAATTGGTTATCTATTGACATTTCAGCGGCGTGGTAAGACGAACTGTTCCCCTTGCATCTCCAAATATCACACCTTGTCTAAATATATGTACATCTTGCCGGTTGACTCTGAGCTGGTGGTCACAGCCCTAAAAAAAATTACGGAGATTCCAAGTTCTACAGAGAAAGTTCAACAGAGATTGTAGATTCCAGCCAGAATCTTTGAACTCCATCTGCATCTCTTTGAACTTCGGTGGCTATTTTCTAGTGATCCTGGCAATGTGTTCCTGTTTCACCGATCATCAACGACATTTGCGCATTCAAATGGAAAACCAGCAAGGGTCCAATCTCGTTTATATGGCACGTTACAAAAGCTCGTGACTCATGGCTGACGGGCTTTGGCAGAGTTAGGCACTAAGAAGATGAACTATATTTGGGCTGCTTAATGCGCACATTATGTGCACTACGACTAGGTTAGAGACGAAATTCGGAGACAAGGCGGCGTTTAACGGAGTTGGCAATTAGCTATCGAATGCGTTTTGCCCGCTCTACGTCGCCCAATCGCCGGGGCATGATGTTATCCACAAATGTTGAAAAGAACTTTGAACCACTCTCAGCATATTCAACCCAAATACACAAGCTTAAATTTCAATCTATGGTGATCTTCTCTCGAATGGAACTAAATGTAGAAGCAAGCCCATTGAGGGATATTTTTTGGCTTTTGGAAACTGAATATCGATTAACTGCGATGAATTTCAGAGAGCTCCGCGCTCCTGGGGCAAGTGGGTGCATTAGAAAAGTTATCTTGGGCGGGTGTCTGGTGTCGCATCTGGAGCTGGCCCGGCGTGGCGAACGGCGCTCAAACCAAAAGGAGCTTACACTGACATTATCGCTCAAATACGTTGACATCACGGTCATCACGGAGCATCTAAACTTCATTGCCCGACCAGGTGCGGTGGACAACTGACACGGTGGACGACTGGACTAGAGTTGCAAAGTTTTCCCAATGGGCTGCTACCGGCACCGCCCCGCCCCACAAAAATTTTCTGGGATACCGGCATGCTACCACGCCCCAAGCAAAAAAACCGCCAAATTACCGGCATACCGGTAATTTGGCGGTTTTAATACGGCATATGGAACTTTTACCACAAAATGTATTTTGCAGTGGCTAAGATTGCTGTTATTACAATTCAATAGCCTCTTAGTGTCCAAAGTTTGAATCATATGCTGATAATTTTTTTGTGTGCAAAATCAAAAATACCGGCATGCTACCGGCAAGACATGCCAGATACCACGAAAAAACCTGCGGTAGTGAAAAATTACCGGCGTGCCGGTAGTGCGGTAGGGAAATTTTGCAACTCTAGACTGGACAGGGACACCTATCAGCTGGGAGCCGGGTATTGCAGCGGATCGGCCCAGTATCCCCACCGTACTGGCCATCCCCACCGTACCGGCCGCAGCCCAACAGAGGACGGTCCGGACTTCAGCGGGCCAAACTGCACAGCTGGGCGCCGCCTGGTGTGCGATGACGGAGTAAATACCCCAACGCGCGTACTGCCCTGCCCGTGCCCCTTAGATCCACTTCTTCTCTCTGAGCAGTATCTACGCACGCCCAACGGTTCTACAGCGCGACGAGGCCACGCAGTGACTGCCTTAATCGCCTGATGACACCACTTTTTCAGAAAGAAATGCTACGACCCGGACTGTTGACCAGAGCCGAAAAGAGCAGCCGACCACTGACCAGTAACAGCTCGACTTAGGAGTCGAGTTGCGTGGGAAGCGAGAGCGATATGTGAAACATGACCAATGGGCCTGTGAACACTGGACATGTCTTTATTGTCTTAACAACCCCTGCGAAAAAAAGCAGACCAATACAAGCAAAAAGATTACTTCATTTTGACCTACCTGAGGAAGTGTGTTTCATTTTTCTTGAAGAATCCCATTTTCAGTGACTTCTTTTTCTTCTCCTCAAAGCCACTGAAGCCTTGACCAACTGACATAGTGGGCGTAGGGTCAGCAGTAGAGGTGACTGGCAAAGTCGGCTTGCTGGCATAACTTGCAGCTCTGCAAATCCAAATAAAGTGTGAGCAAGTGAATAAGGCATGCATATTGTACATCTATGGTACAAAATTGTCATGATTCATCATGAATTGCATTTCAATGATAATGCATCATCTATAATTATGTTAATCAATGATTATGCATCTGGAAAGTCAACTAGTGTGGTTAGTGTCCAGTGGAATGTCCCAAATAAATTGTCTGAGGTGGAATGGCATAACTGCTGAAGACATCATCTGACACCTACCCATTATAGGTTGCATTGGAAGGTTGGTGAGCAGATCTTGACTGTATTAGTTCCTTGTAACACTTGGAGCAGAACCCGCCCCATTGCGGGTTTCCAAAGAAACCACAAAGGTTCTTGCAGAACAGGTCATTCCGCGCTGGATGTGAAGTTTTGGTCGGGACATGGTGGCTTAGCCTGTGAAGAAAAGCATTAATAAATATGACTCAAAACCAGGTGATTCAACACTACAATAAACAATAGATGCACAAAAGCAGCCTAATATTCTCATTTTTCACTATTAATGCTGTTAATAATTTATTGAGTGATTTTATTGAAATGGTGACTACAGCCTACAGGCACATGTGCCCACTAAGGCTAAGCAAAGCTTATTCCTTGGCACCAAGACACATCACCTAGCCACACAGCTCCACAGTTCACTGGTGATTGTTCAGCTGTAGGTCCAGCATACCAAACATAGATGGTGACTCATCAGTCATGATAATGTCAGTGACTGCCAGCTCAAGCTAGCTCCAAACATCCTCCCTTCCTCAAAT